GAGCGACGCAAAAAAAATGTTGAAAAAAAATTTGAATCTTGAGATTATAACATTTTCTTTTAACTTTGTTGTTTGTAAGTGGGACGAGAGTACACACCGTTGGAAATGTTGTCCCACAGAATGTCCACGTAATCATCTCGTTCATATCTACTGTGCTCGTGCAAAAAGCCGACGGCGTGCATCAACTCGTGTATCACCGTGCCCTTCTGCGTCAGGCAACCAGGAACCTGAAGGTTTACGTCCTGACGGCCGCCAATCCTGCCCACGCTGCTCCAGCATCCAGTGTTACCGGCCGTGATTCTGATGTAATCGCTTTCCTCACCGGTATACGGCTTAAATCTGATGCACGTGTACTTGTGATAGTCATCCATTGCGTCATATATAATCCTTTGCTGCTGCGCGTCTGCCATGTAATTTCGCAAAGGGACCAAAATGTAAATTTAAACAAATCTTAAATAATAAAGAAGAAAGTTTACTTGGATGAAGTTAATATTCATATTTAAAGCGCCAAGTGTAATAGCAATAGTAAGTATAATAGTAAGATAATTTAACAAGCATATTTTAACGTAATATTTAGTGAAGAACAAAATAACAAAAGGCAAAAGAACAAGCAAAAAAAAAATTGTTGCGTGAAATGTCTAACTTTCGAAATTACTCACTAAAGTAAGGACTAATCATGAAGGGAACAACGCCGTTGGGCCATCGAGCGGAAACCGCGGAGAGACCGTTTCTTCCGATACTCGGAGGAAAAAGGATGTCTCCCTCCGCGTAATCGCCCAGCTCTTCCGGATTCACGTCCAAGTCTTTGTGCCAGCGTGCCACCTTCAACCCGGTTTCGTTGCTCGGGAATCCGTAGAGCGAGCTGCCGAAATTCCGCAGGTGGGCGATCAGTCCGCCTGGGTTATCCAGGATGTTGTCGAAGATGTCCCGACGACGGAAAGTGGGCCACGCCGATGTCAGCGTCGTCAGAAGGAGAAACGCCCACGCAAGGGTGGCTGACAATCGATGAGGCATAATCGAGAAGTACCAGTCCAGGTCCCACAATCCCGCGACGACGAGCGCGAATGCAGTGATACACAGCCACTCGAATCGTTCCCGTTTTTATACGTCACATCGGAAAAAAAATCCGTGCCCCACCCGCACGGATGTGCCCGCCGTAGGAAGCGGCTCCGGAAGTGATCGGGGCCATCCATTGATAATCGTGGACTTTGGGTGATGGCGAGTTCAGATTTGCGCTTGGTATCTCGCCTCGAAGGCGCGACACCGAGACCCCGAGGACGTTGTTATTTTTTTGTGAGTCATTAATTCTTCCGACCGTGGCGATTACCTTAAAGCCGAATTCTTAGTACCTCTTTCGCAATCTCTGATGACATATGATAAATTGATTGTTACCGGAGGGATCACTGAAAAATGCAATTATTTCGATGGAAGTCAATTAACTTGGAGAACACTTAATTAGTCACTTAATCGATCACAATTTTACAAAAATGTTATAAAAATCTTGGATAACGAGTCGAAATATCGATTTTAAAGGCTAAATCTTGATTGAAAAAATCTTGGATTCAACGTCCATATTTTTATTTGAGGAGTAATGGGATTTCTTACACTTCCTCGTGGAAGTGAGGAAGCGCCGAACCTGTTCACTTGACGTGTCAAGTACATCTAAATAATCAGAGAACGGCGCTGTTAGCACATAGAACGATGAGATTAATATCCCGAAGTCATTCACATGCAAATCCTGCCTGAGCAAACATTTGTCATCGAAGAACCTCGGCATACAATCGTAAATAGCGAAGGTCACCGTTCTTGTCGCTCATCTTGATATTACACTTGTAATTACAATTGCTTCATTCAAAACATTCAGAAGAGATTTGAATAAGACGATTGAAAATTTTTGAATATTTACATTCTTTAAATACACTTGCAAAGTATAGTGTCAGTGTTTTGTTTAAATAAGAAAATGCAAAATAAGTTGAGTTTTGAATAATTTTAGGGCGATTATAAATATGGCAAAAGCTAATTAAGACTTATAAATATTTTGCAACGTTTAACTAATGTACAGATAGGGAGATTGAAAGCAGCACTACGAAAATTCTACTTCTTGTTATCTAAAACTAGTTTGAAATGTATCTAAGCTACAGCTAAATGTTAGGCCAACTCGAGTCCCCTCTATTGCGCGAACGGCACGATAATTTCCGGTTAAAAAAAATATATCAATCCCGTTTGTCAAATATATCAACGCCATTTACATACAGATCGGTATTTCCGGAGTTTACATTTACGTGGCATTTAAAAGGACAATTGTAAAGATACAACTGTAAAGATAAAACTATATATTAAAATTATATAGTAGGTTCTAAACAATACAAAAGATCAAAATGGATAGAGATATCTAGGACTAGGAATAATTATAAAATAATAATTATATAGTAATTATAAAATATTCGAATAAACTGTAGCATCTTAACATTCCAATCGACATCAAAATATATTTATATATAACATTAACATTTTTTTATGTAGTTAGATTTTTGTATCTAATAATATAATAATTTCCAAACTCAATTTGGAGTTAAGTCGCCACTCTTAACGATTTCCAGGTACATGAAATCAACTTTTATTAAAATAAAAATAAAAAGTAAAAATTTTTAATTTTTACGATTTTTGCAATTAGCAAAAATGATGTCAACGGCACATGGTGTTCCCAAGCGGTCACCCATCCAAGTACTAACCATGCTCAACGTTGCTTGACTGCAGGATCGGACGAGAACTGGTATTTTACAACGTGATTTGACTGTTGACGTCCAAAAGATTTCCAATTCCTGTAGATAAACCAAAATCTCTAAAAATTGAATATTTTTTTATTCTGTTCTTCTCAAAATTCTGAGACATCCTATCAGGATCCCGACAATCCTTTACACGGTCCTATATGTATTGTTCCCTCTCGATTCATCATATACATAAAATATTATAATAAATCAATATCGCTAGATTTGTGTAATAATAATAATAATAAGGGTAAAATATAAAATGCCATAAATTTCAATAATATAAAGAGTCAATTAAAACTTTTCGTTCTACAAATGCATTGTTGAATCTATCAAAGCGTTGCGCATGCGCGTCTTAAAACCAGCGCCATTAGCACACCTGCGTATTGGCGCCTGGCGCGTACTTGTTCCATCTGTATCAATTGCGTGAAGTACGGATTTCATTTCGAATTCAAACAAAAGGAATTGGTGACAATGACGCTTGAAGATTCGTGGGAGGCGATTAAGCAGGCAGCCGAGAAAAACAGGCACGAGTTGGTGCTGTCGGGCCCGTCAGTGTCCAAACTGATCGAAACGTCCGGCCTGGACGAGAATCTATTTAACCTCCACAACCTGAATTATCTCAATGTAACACGCACATGTCTTAAGGAGATGCCACCCGACATTGCGAAATTGATGAATCTTACAACTCTGGTACTGCATTCGAACGAGCTTGCCGAATTGCCGAGCGAAATCGCCAAATTACCGAAGCTGAAGATGCTCGATTGCTCGAGGAACAAGTTAACCTGTTTGCCGCAGGAACTCGGCAACCATCCCGAACTGAACACATTGAACCTCGCCTCGAATTTTCTGCGGGAGATACCGTCGCTGAACTCGTGCATAAAACTTAGCGTCCTAGACTTGTCGAACAATCGCCTCGAGAGCTTTCCCGACATTTGTCACGCGGAACTCACGCATCTGTCGGAGATTCATGTCAACGGGAATCAGATAACAGAAATACCGTTTACTATCAACCTCCTGCAGGGGTTGAAGGTCTTAAACGTGGGAGACAACTCGATTCCTGGTAATGATATTCTCGTATCTATTGTATGTCCCTCGTTGAAATAACTTTTTACAGAATATTCTCAAGTGTGACTATTGCATACAAAGATAAGTAATTTGTAATCTTGTCGTGACACAGTTGTACCGAGTGAATTAGCAGATTGTAGTAAGTTGAAGGAAGTATGTCTGAAAGGAAATAAGTTATTGGATAAGAGGCTAACGAAATTGATTAATCAATGTTCCACGAAGCAAGTACTTGACTATATCAAGTTACATTGTCCAAGAAGCGAATTATCCACAACAGAAGCTAATAAATCAAAAAAAGGAAAGAAGAACCAGAAGGTATCCGAAAGTGAAAACTTGGTGGATGATTTGACACATAAATTAAAAGTCCTGAAGATAGCAGACGACACGCCAGTAATAAGAGTTACAGAACATGTAAAGAATATCAGACCTTATATAGCTGCATGTATTGTGAAAAATATAGGCTTCACAGAGGACAGCTTTAAAAAATTCATTCAGCTGCAGACAAGATTACACGATGGAATATGTGAAAAAAGAAATGCTGCTACAATAGCAACTCACGATTTGAAACTTATAGCACCTGGTAAGTATTGAATATTTAATGAGAAGATTATTTTTATATTATGTACTTTGAACTCACTACAAGATAGATTTTATTTTATTCAGGTGATCTCACATATACAGCAAAGTTACCCATGGAATTAGAAATAAAACCATTATCGCGCAACAAGATGTATACAGGAGCGGAGTTATTCCAGAAGTTGCAAGCAGAAGCTGAGCATTTACGTAAAGAAAAGAAGCGAAATGTGTATTCTGGAATACACAAGTATTTATATTTGTTGGAAGGCAAATCTTTATTTCCATGTCTGGTGGATCAATCGCAACAGGTTATTTCATTTCCACCAATCACAAACAGTGATATAACGAAAATGTCTCCGTCTACTCAAGCAATGCTTGTGGAAGTAACAAGTGCTACATCATTCACAGTTTGCAGGTGAGAGACGTGACATGCTTTATCATAAAATTATCTGACACGATTTAATTTGTTTTTAACCGTAAAGTCAATTCTCTTAATAACGCCTTCATTTCTAGAAATGTTTTGGACGAATTTTTGAAAGAGTTGATAGTCTCAGGTGTCACCGATTCCACAGAACTGAAGGATACAGACGACAAACTTAACAATTTAATTGTTCAACAAATCAGAGTAGTCGATACCCAAGGAAATCTAAAGATAATATATCCTTCAAGATCAGATTTAAATTTTAACGAAAAACTCATTGGTGTATTACGAGAATAGGAAGAATAACGTAAAAAAGAAAAAAATAATTGAAATTCTGTCCAATTCATATAAGTTTAAGTTAATTAAAGTTAAATAAAGTCTTCATTCTAAGAAAACTGAGAAAGAGAGAGAAAAACTCGTAAGATTTTCTTTATTCTTATATTCTAAAACTCGATATAAGAATCAGATAAAAAACGAGCGAGTAATTTTTCAAGTGTATCGACAGCAAAGAGAGAAAAGTTGAAGATCGCATGACGATGTAATCGCGGAAGCGAGTCGCGCCCATCGCATTTGGCTCGCTTTATCACGTTGATTAAGAGCATATGGTCGCGGGATGCGGCGGTTATCCGCGAGTTCGAATACCGTGGAGGGATCCGCGCCTCCGGCTAACCGACCGCCGGCGATGGTGGCGCCACTGTCCCGCAGCCGAATCGCGCCGCCTCGACGAGCGCCGGTGCTTGGATCCTCATCTGTTTTTATAAATATTGTACTTTGCTACGCGTGCCGCGATCGCGAGCGAAACGTCCGACGTTCGTCGACCAATACCCTCCGCCGCATCCTTGCGGACCGTTCGTCAGCGGTACTCGCTCTTCGTGGTGTCCGAAAACGATAAGAAGAGGGTCCCACCGGACGAGTTGGCGAACTTTCCCAACATGCGCGAGTGTTTGAAGTGATAATATGGCGCCGAAATTATGACTGGTCATATCGGGGGAGCGAGACAGCATTTGAGGTTAGTACGATGTTATTCCACTTCGACGTCGTCGTCGTCGTCGTTGTCGTGTTGTCATTGCGGCGGAGTCGGATTTCTCCGCCATCGCATTCTGCGTATGTGACACGCACTCGTTAAAACGTTACGCCCGTGCGCGCCTCTGCGAAACCGACTGTCACGTTTTATAATTAACATGTTGTTTTTTGTGACCGCCAGCGCGTTAATTACATAGTCATGCACGTTATTGCTTTTACAGCATTTGACATCATCGCTACACATGTAGGATAAACGCGATAATACGAAATATCGCGATTAATTAATTACGCATCCCCTTTACATCATCCCCTCCCTATATCCAGATGGATACACTGAGACTTTTTTATTTTTACAATGACTGATATATCAGTAATATATTTTTCCTGAAGAACATGACGTTCTAAGATGTCTCAAAAAGACGTCGTAAAAATTTTTTAAAATAGTTATATTTTTTGATATATCTATGATAAGCAAATTATTCAGGTTGGCTATGGTTTTGTATTGTATTATATTTGTAAAGTTTCTATTATTTTAGTTCACAAAAGACATTGCAATGTATTTATCATATGTTGCATATTGAACAGAATTGTCATTGTGCTTATTTGTATGCGTATATTAACATATATTAACATATTCATTGAATTTAAGACAATAAATTCAAACAAAGAAATTCTTGAAATTATATTTTACTCAACATATCGTGATACAGTGATGTTAGTTAATCTCTATATATATTAACCATGCGAGGAATACATTAGGTCTCTAAACTATTGCTACTTAAAAAAATATAAAAACAGATTATTAATACATTGGAAATTATACTTTCTACATGTTAAGGATAAATAAAAATAGGATATTTATTAATTATTTGTGTAATAACAAATGCTATAAGATAAATGCTTAATAAGAAAATTACGAAATATAATGCTACAATGATGATAAAATATCTTGGTCATTATTACATTATTGATTGTACTTCAAAAATAAATTCCTTTTCTCTTGCAAAAGTAGTTTTCATGTGTTCTAATATGTTTTAATACGAATAAAGTATTTGGCCACTGTCTTTGGACTATTTTCTACTCATCAAATATTGTAAATGACTTGTAAATTTAAATGGAGAAGGATTTGGACCACGCATCTTTAAACATCCTCCTGTCCTTTTTAAAAATATATATGGAAGTATGTAAACATGCGTGCGCCAGTTTACAGAATAGGAAGTAGATTTGTAATCACATTCAATTTGACTAGCAAATAACGCGTTGAGATTACGCGAAGAGATTTAATGCACTTTAAGCTGCTCTTGACGTTCCTTCACGTCAATGATGCTAAGATTGATGCACGATACATATCCGTGCAATAAGGAAATAGCGGCTTTGACAAGCGCTACCGGGGCGCTCAGGTACACGATTAGTCTGTACAGACTTATACCGGCAACTGCAAGATAAAATATCAATTATCAAGATCTTTACGACCAAAATAAAGAAGACATGAAATTGAAATGGTACTTACATATTGGTCCTTCGGTAAAATGCAAAAGGTACAGACCAGCGTAAAATGCTTCATTGCCAGCGCACATGAAGAATAGTACTATGCGATTAGTATAATATAATCTCATAATCGGATTTTCAGACATATCGATGAACTTGTGACTGGTCTTTCCTTGTAGAAGAGTCCTGTTTTGATAATACAGACAGCGTTAGAAAATTATAACATTCCCTTGTCAGACTTCATTATTTATGTATATCATTTCTTACGTATGCAAGTAGATCCAGTGACAGGCTATGTCAATAGATATGCTCAATTGGAACCAGAAGGTGTAAGCAGGATAGAACAAGCATAATGTAACCATAAGACACGTCGTGCCAATCCTATCTGTCAGTTGATCCAAGATTGCACCAAACTTGGTGCTCTGGTTGTAATATCTAGCCGCATGGCCGTCTATCGCATCCAGCAACGAACTAATTACATAGCACCACGTAGCAATGATATAGTCGGTACGCATAAAATAAAAGGAGATCAGTGCCAGAATCACCCTGCCGAAACCTAAAATTGATGACAATTATATAAATTTTATTCTTTCACTGATCTGATAAGAATTTGAATAAATGTCATTATTCAGAAAATAATTCAAAATTTAAGCTTGTAGAAATTAAAAGAATTGCTTTAGAAAAGTTTAAAAAGAGTTTACTATTGGAAAGCCGATTTTATGTAAATATTACATAAAACAATAACGCACTGATTCAATCAATCAATAGAGGCAGCCTTAAAAGCGCCATATGATTTGTATAGTCGTCTCATCGAGCGAGCCACTTTGAATTATCAAGATGGTTCGTTGAAGGAAAATTCGATTTTCCATCCGATTCATGCATTTTGTGCAATCGAATCTTGGCGAGCGTCGATATGTGCCAGTCATATTGTACTGTATGCAAAGTGGTTTGTCGCGACGCAAACGTCACTGCTTTAATATCCCGAAGGAAAAATAGCTCAAGATTAGATATTTACCGATGATGTTGGGCACGAATAAAAAGATATTCTCCGTCTCCGTCATTTCGGTCTGCGATGATTCGACGCAGGTTCTCCACGCAGAATAATCTCTATCTGCGAGATAATGGCTTATCTGAAACTGCCGGCCACGACTGTGTCAGAGATTATCTCGATGCCGGCTCACGTATCCACTGCAGATTTCACCGGAGCCGGGAATGCACGCGTATAAATTGTCCCCGTCTATGCCGCTACGTCGTTTGCGACTGGTAGCAACGGAGAAGCGGAAATCTGCATCGAACGGTGGTACTCGCGCGACTTCGAGATGTATCGACCTTCGGTGGCGCGCGTGACTGGATCGTGAGAAAAACCCACGGCTGTATGTAGTCACGCATGTGCCATGCACATTTGACCCGGGACAATTTGGAAATATAGGCTTATTCTGTAACTTTTTTAACAACAGTACGCAAAAAGACTATTAAAAATCTGAAAAATGAAAATGAGATAAATTGACTTAGGAAAGGGAACAATTTTTAATTTAATCCAAAATTGTCAAATTAAAAATTTCCTTAAATTATCGTCGTTTCACCTTCACAAAGAATGCTTATTGAATTCGCTAAGTATGGTGATTAACTAACAAAATTGCCTCAGATTATTTTATAATAATTGTTAATGATCATATTAATAATTTGAAATTCACAGAGAAAAAAACGTTATTTGTTGTGGTAAACTCTCTCTTTTTTTAATGATTTCTGCAAAAAAATTATACAACAAGCTTCCACTTTTTGTTTCTGAAGCGAAAAAACGGGAAGGTTGGCATCGGGCATTTCGTTGAACAGGCACGCGACTACACGCCAGACGACATTTTCGGAGACTAAGCGGCTGGTCCGCCGCCGTTTCTCTGCGCAAAAGCGAGGATTCCGCTTGTTACAGTGTCGTGACGGGAAAGTGTAAAGTTGTAAAGCGGGTGTCCGCCCTCGACTTTTCCCGCTGATAATCATTCGCGCACGCACGGATGGCGTCGCACGGTGGAAAATATCCGTAAGCTCCTTGAAGTGGACCTGTCCTCTCGTACTCGGATCGACTCCGCGCGTACGTGCCTTTCGCGGCGAAATCGAAGCTGGTTTTTTTTTTTTTTCTTTTTTTTCCTCGGGCGGGTTTGCGAGGCACGTCGTGGCGCGCAACTGTCGGCTGATTCTCTCGTTCGTGTGTCGCGTTGCGTTCGAAATCGTCGCAGAAAAGTCAGCCGTCCCGGGAAAAGGCGATGTTGCGCGATCGATAACCCGGCGCCCGATCTCGAGACTCTCGAACGAGGGCCAGTCGACAAACGCACGTTTACTCCACCACGGAATTGATTTTCCGTGATCCTCCGTTCTATCTCTCTTTCTTTTTCCCCCTCCCGTTTTTCTCTTTCGGATCGTTCAGCTTTGAGTTCCCATCTACGGTTCTCGCGCCGATAGTGAACGGTATCTACTATACCGACGGCATCAGCGCAGCAGTGAGGTTTCCATTCATCGTGTTGTATTTGAGAATCACGCCGACGGTGCGGCGGTGACGATGAATTCGTTTGTCAACCTACACCGCGTGTCATACGGGCGAGAGAAATAAGCGACACTTGTGAGAGAACAATTACGCGCGTGTGTTGTGTGTGTTGTACCTGACGCGCGCGTGCGCGCCTACGCCACTGCGTGCGTCGTGTGCATGTGGCTGTGAACGAGGGAGCGTCGCGCGCAGTGCGCGTGTGTGTGCAGTGTGTGGCGGTTCAGCCACATTCGCGAGACGTCTCCGCGAATGGATTCTCTCTCTTGAACCATTCCGTGCGTGCGTGCGTGCGTGCGTGCACACGTACGGACGGACAGGCGGACGCGCGCGTGTGTGTATGCGTCCGCGTTTGCCCCTGCGCAGCGGCGGCGACCATTTTGAATCGATGAGTGCTCG